AAAAAAAAAAAAAAAAAAAAGAGTTGCACTCCAAGCCAAATGGATAAACTTTTTTTTACAAAGCTTAGAATTATTACAAGCAAAAATCTAGAAATTTAAATATGAGAGTGTTTTGATAGTCACTCAGACAAGTACAAAAAATGCTCTTATAGTTCCATTTTTCTTCATATCTGTCACAGAAGGTATTAGATTGAAAACGTACATTACACTGTGGGTATCCTGAGGGCAGAGTCCTCCATGCACCCAGTGCCTAGAATAGTGCCTGCTCATAGTCTGAGTTTAATTTATTGAATGGATGAACAGAGAAACTGTCGAGATAAGCTGCAACTGCGTCTCAATAAAAGATTATTTATTGATGTCTTAGAAGGAAAAATATCCACAAAGACCTAAGTGACAATTTTTTTTTTCTTTTTCTTTTCTTTTTTTTGAGACACAGCCTCCCTCTGTCACCCCGGCTGGATTACAGTGACACTATCTTGGCTCACTGCAACCTCCCCCTGCCAGGTTCAAACTATTCTCCTGCCTCAGCCTCCCACGAAGCTGGGATTACAGGCGCCCGCCACCATGCCCAGCTAATTTTTGTATTTTTAGTATTGACAGGGTTTCACCATGTTGGCCAGGCTGGTCTCGAACTCCTGAACTCAGGTGATCCACCTGCCTTAGCCTCCAAAGTGCTGGGATTACAGTCACGAGCCACCGTGCCCTGCCTTAATCTTTTTTTTTAAGACAGAGTCTCACTAGTGACAAATATTTCTAATAATTCTACCCAGAGATTTAGATTGTACCTAACTTTTAGTGAGGAGTGTATGCTTTTGTGCTTTTATGCTTTTATGTATGTTGTCTCATTCAGTGATTGACACCTTACAGCTGCCTGGGTGAAGTCAACGGGACACAGGTGTTCCTGTCTCACATACTTCAGTGTAGTCAGAATTCATACCCAGGCTATTGGTCTCCAAGTCCAGAGCTGTTTCTGCTGCACCAAATTTGACAAGTATCCTGTATTTTAATTATATTTTTTATTCAGAAAACAGCAATATATCCGGATGATGACGGATGAAATGTAATTTGCACTAACTGTGTATGCCAGACAGTGCCCACAAGTGTTCACTTATTTCACTCCCAACCACCAGATGTGTGGAGATAGGATCTAAACCCAGGCAGCTCTGACTCCATTGTTTGTGTCCTTACTGATTTCTCTGTACCTCCCTGTGGCACTTAAATTTTCCCTTCACAGGTTGGTTATAACTGAGTAAGACAGGGGTTCATCACATGGCAAAGTACTGACAGAGAAAAGGTGTTAGAAGCCATTATTTTTGTTCTGCTCATTCTTAGTGCAGTATTGTTCCAGATACTTCTAATGAAGGCTTTTCATTCTAATTTATTCACTATCTTCTTCAGAAAAGAAGAACTAAAGCAGGTCATGTGCACTTCAGACATAAGAGTTTAAATGCTATTTACTCCATGGACAAATACTGAGTAACACTTTAGGCTGGATTTTCATTTTTGCCAATAGAACCTGTGGAAGAACTGTTTAGGGTAAGAGTTTAAGGTATTCAAAATGATGCCCCCCCACCCCACCACATATTGACTGTTTACCAGCGTGAGTGTTGTTTTACTGATTTCATTTGTCAGGGGTTGTGTTTGTAAACATGGAGCTCTGGGTTGCAAGATGACATCAGTCACCAGTGAAATATTTCTAAATGAATAAAACAAAGCTCAGAATGGTTTACCTCTCTCTAATCCCACAATCTGATTTTTTAGGGTTTCTTTGTGCTGTTCGACCTCCGCCTTTTGATCTTCAATGTGGTGCAATTTCTTATGGATTTGTTCTCTGATTTTGTTGAGCTTCCCGATGTCAAGGCGCATTTGATGGACTTCTTCCTCTTTGGCCTGTAATTAGTAAGAAAGAATTAATGAGACACTTTGTAAATGAAGAGCCAGGGACTGGATGATGGTAAACTCAGAACCAATAAAAGGAAATTCTTCCCATGGCAGTGTAAAGTTGTTCTATGAGATTAAATCAAGCACCCACAATTTGGTTTTGAGAGAAATTGAAAAATTCTGTCCACTGAATAAAATATGTGGTTATATTTTGTATTTTTATGAACTAAAAATAATAAAAAGACTGAAAAATTTGGTTTCAAGTTACCATCTGATATGGTTTGCCTGTGTCCCCACCCAAATCTCATCTTGAATTCTCATGTGTTGTGGGAGGGGCCTGATAGAAGGTAATTGAATCATGGGGCAAGTCTTTCCCATGCTATACTCATGATAGTGAATAAGTCTCATGAGGGCTGATGGTTTTAAAAAGAGGAGCTCTCCTGCACAAGCTCTCTCCCTTTGCCTGCTTCCATCCACATAGGATGTGATTTGTTCCTCCTTGCTTTCCACCATGATTGTGAGGCCTCCCCAGCCATGTGGAACTGTTAAGTCCAATTAAACCTCTTTCTTTTGTAAATTGCCCAGTCTCAGGTATGTCTTTATAAGCAGTGTGAAAACAAACTGATACATCATCTAATTGTAGAATCAAATAAGATAAGAATACTGAGTTGTAGGTATCAAAAATATGTGAATTTTATATATAATATTTGATTAGCAATTTTCATGGACTTATGAAGTGATCTCTATCAGAAGGTTATTAACATGCTATAAAATATTCAAATACTCTACACTAGTTATATACACTAGAGATGGCATCCTCCTTCCTCAAAGTATGTTAGTCTGTAGGTATACATAAGGATAAGTGGACCAGATATTTCACAGTATGACTAGTCAGTCTATAAAATGGCAAACTGTTCCCTAAAAATAATCCTAGCAAAGGAATGCACCCAATTTTTGTCTTAAGACTTTAAGCTTTCCAGATTTTGGAAATTTAAATTAAATTCACTTTTTAAAAATTTTGCCATTAGAAGTGACTGGAAAAGCAGCTGGGATTCTTCTGCAAACAAAGGTTAGTAATTATCTCAGCTTATAACAATTAAGAGACTGAAATTAGCTGTTCATGTTATCCTCAGATTATTGCTAGAGGCCAAAATCCCACTAGGCTCATGATCTGATAACAGAAACCGTCCATCTTTCAAAATGCCCCATTCATGTTATCAAGGAAAAGAATTAATGGCATGAGTCTTTTTCCTTTAATTTTACCTTAGGGGCTAATATGTTATTTTGACTTAAGTAGTCATCTCATCTCTGCTTTAACTTACTGCATTCTCATACAGAATGGTTTCAAGTCTACCCATTCTGGGCTGTTTTAAAAGTTTTTCAGCCTCAGACCCTATAGGGTTCAAATTAGTTGACATTAAGGCCTCTTCCAGTTCTAAGATGTTCTAATTGAGTAGTTATTAATCCAGACCCCATATTTAGACTTCAGAAAAATCCTGGAAACCTCTTTTATTTCTGGGATGCATAAAACACAACATGTAAGATATGCAAATAAGAATGTACATGTGTATCTTACCATCAGATTCTCAAAGGACATTGTGATACAAAAATGTTATGGTCCTCTGCCCAAATCTATGTATAATTTTTGCTAGGCCACTCTTTTTACATCCAGTATTCTAACATAACCAGAGTAGGGAATATGGATTTTTTTCAAAATTAAAGTGATAAACATAAAGCTGCTCTGTTAAGCAGGTAGACATAACAACATATATCTGAGTCTAAACTGTTATCTAAACTTAATTTGTAAGCACTCTTCAGTGAGAGCAAGGAGAAGAACAGGAAATCTGTCTCAAAATATAAAGTGGACAGAAGTGAAAATCGTGATACACTCCTGTAAGTAAATACTAGGTAGTATCAGTCTCTCCCCCAGCCATTCCATCCCACCTTCTCCATACAAGTAGTAAAATATAATCTGAATTTTTGGCTATTCACACATGTGAATGGGTTTCTAGCTTTAAGCAACTGGTTTCTTGTAAGGCTAGTTACAGAGACAGACATCTGAGCTCACTTTGGAAAACATTTGCATAACTATATGATCAATAATCAGGTTTGCAATTTTATAAGAAAGAATGGAAGTCTTCTTCTGGGCATAAAGAAATCCCTGTACGTTTGCACCTGCCTCTGATGCGTCAAGGCACTCAGTAGAGCCAATCAGCTATCCGAATGAGGGCTCCAATCACCAAGGCAAACCTGTGTTAACAGGGAATGAGGAAGGAAGAGCTAGGGAACAGACATGTGACTTTGTGTTTACTTTGAGCTCCAACGCCTTCTGTTGGTTTTCCTGGGATAGCTGCTCACAGACCAAATTGTGCTGTTCATTCTCTTGCTGAAGTTTAGCATTTCTCATCTGAAATTGCTCGAGTTCCTTCGCAGCTCTCTCATTCAATATCTGAAAGGTATGGAATGAGCTGGTTAATGCTTTTTAATCTGATTACAATACTTGTATATACACACAGGGGGCCCCGAAAACCTCCTGGGAAGATAACAGCAACCCTAAGTTTTTGCCTTTGTAGAAATTGTTCTTTATCCCTGATGAAAGCACTAACGCACTCAAATATGATGAATGTTAAATGGTTGAGGAAAATGATGCCTTCTAATGAATAACACAGTGAGCATAATTTTTTTTCTGAGAGCCTTGGGAAGTCTTGTTCACAGGTGGTAGATAAATATTTTAATGCCTGTTTGCCATTTGGCAGGCTTTGCATACGCAACAATTGCTATAATCATTGCAAACGAGCTAGAGATTCAAACGGATTTTATAAGCTGTGGGGCTTGGAAGCTACATCTTCAGAAGCAAATCCTGCATTAACATGCCTACAACATTTCCATCAACAGAACTGTTCACTAACATCAACACAGAGACAATTTTCTTTTAATCTAACTTAAGTCGAAACCATGGAATAGCAGTGGAGTGATTTATATCTGCTTGAGTTCAGTGTCAGCCAGATATTCCTCTTCCCTGCCTTGACTATCCTCAGCAGATACAGTTTTATAAAAACAAAGAATTGGCTGGGTGCGGTGGCTCATGCCTGTCATCCCAGCACTTTGGGAGGCGAAGGCAGGCAGATCATGAAGTCAGGAGATCAAGACCATCATGGCCATGGTGAAACCCTGTCTCTACTAAAATACAAAAAAATTAGCCAGGCGTGGTAGCGAGCACCTGTAGTCCCAGCTACTCAGGAGGCTGAGGCAGGGGAACCACTTGAATCTGGGAGACAGAGGTTGCCGTGAGCCGAGATCATGCCACTACACTCCAGCCTGGCAACAGAGCAAGACTGTCTCAAAAAAAAAAAGGGCTGTATCTTGGGGGCTCATTTCTATTGGGGGGATACAGAGGAAGTGGAGGGATAGCAAATGAATTACAAGATAAAAATAGAAAGAGAGAGAAGACAGTTTAGGTAATGTATCCAAAATATAACTTCCATGCACGCAAAAATTAAGCATGAAAAGAATCCAACCAATTCTCCATCAATGGGACTAAATAAAAACTAACCGGCTATGCTAAAAATGCAATTGGGTTTCACAGGAGGATAGTTTTATCCTGATGTCCAAAAGCCTCTCTCTTATTTTTCATGCTCAAAGAAGTCTCATGTTTTTCTGCTGAAGGCTGTATATTGTGAATTATCTATTTGACTTCTGGCTTTATATAAAATTAATAGAGCAACGGGCCAAAAAAGTATATCTATTTTTGAGTATCTATACGGCTTGACAATTATTTGGAAACAAGCTTCCTGAGCGAAAACATATTTAAGAAAGACTTTTCAATTATATGAATTGCTTCTTTAAGAAATAAGAAAATACATAATAGAATTACTAATATTTGTGTCACCTTAAACTGCTATAATAGGGGAAGTGTTAGGGAAGTGTTAAAAACAGTACCATATTAAAAATATATAAAGATTGACCTTAGTTTCCTAAACTTGAAAATAACTTAAAAATAAACCTGTTGGCCGGGCACAGTGGCTCATGCCTATAATTCCAGCACTTTGGGAGGCCAAGGTGGTTGGATCACTTGAGGTCAGGAATTCAAGACCAGCCTGGCCAGCATGGTGACATTCTGTCTCCACTAAAAATACAAAAGTTAGCTGGGCATGGTGGCGGACTCCTGTAGTCCCAGCTACTCGGGAGGCTGAGGCAGGAGAATCGCTTGAACCCAGGAGGCAGAGGTTGCAGTGAGCCAAGATTGTGCCACTGTACGCCAGCCTGGGTGACAGACAGACTCCATCTCAAAAAATAATAATTAAAAAAATGAACAAATAAAAACAAACCTGTTAAAAATAAATTGTTATACTCACCCAACAGAATACTGGACAGCAATGAGAACAAATGGTCTACTGAGCTTTGTCAAATAGAGCTATCTGCAGTGATGTAAATGTTCTCTGTCTGTGCTAGTATGGCATCGACTAGCCACCTGTGGCTACTGAGCACTCGAAATGATGCTGGTACAATCAAGGAAATGAATTTTTAATTTCATTTCATTTTAATAGTTAAATTTAAATAACCACTTGTCACTAAGGGTTACCATATTGGACATCACAAGTCTATAACTACATTGCAACAACATGAATGAATCTCACAAACAGAATATAGCAGAAGTTAGACACAAAGAGTATATCCTGTAATATTTAATTTCTGTAAAGTACGAAGACAGGCAAAACCAATCTCTGCTTAGAATTCAGGATAGAGGTGGCCTTTTAGAGGGAGAATGACTAGGAAGGAGCACAAAAGGGCTTCTGGGGCATTGGTGATATTCTGTTTCTCCGCCTGGGAGCAGGTGACCAAGATGCAGCTGAGTGGTGAAAATTCATCAAGCTGTCCACTTGTGACATATACACTTTTCTATGTGTACATTATAGATCAATAAAAGGTTAAAAAAATTAATTAACCTGTCAGAGCTGGGAAATTTTAAAAGGGGGGCATAACTACCTTATAAGAGCCATTCAAAGACCAAATTGCAGTGCTAAGTTTTATATTACCACCATGAGTAGTGAAGGGAATTTGCTGCTTTCCAAGATAATTCAAAATGCACAAATGGGTGTGAACAAAGGTGCCATTCTGGGTTTTTCCTGTTTTTCGCAAAGACCCACACCCAACTCACCTTCTGCTCCTTCAGCTGCTGCTCCAGCTTCTGAAGCTCCTCCTTGCTCTTCTGCACGTACTGCTGCAGGGCTTTTATTTCTGTCTGCCTGGCGTCCATGTCTGCCTGAATCTGCTTGAGCTCTTTCTCTAGTTTTTCCTTCTTTCGGAACTCCCGTGAAGCTTCGTTCTGACGTTGCTGGATTTCTTGTTGGAACTAGAGGGCGCGGAAAGCGCAAGAGAGAACAAGATAAGCGCTGGCCGTGGCAGGTCTCAGCCAGCCAAGTCCCCACCTCTCTCAGGTCTGTGATGGTCAGGGCAGACACTTTGCAGTAGCATTTCCCCTGTAGTACAGACATTCTTAAGCCCCAGTGTTCAAATTTTTCAGAAATATTCTATGCTGTTTTTCAGGGCCTTAAAACCAAATGACTACCCTGATGGTAGGCAACAAATCTACAAACTGTGGTGTAAAATCAAAAACATATGGAAGCTCCGAGTTCTAGGGCATTAAACATGGAAATATTTCATCCCATTCTCTATCAGTGAGGACTAAATAAAATGTGGCTGGCTATCCTACATATAAAATTGTGCTTTACATGACCCTGGATATTGCTAAAGAGAGCACTATAGGTTTATCTTGATGTCTGTATTCTACGGAAAGTCTTTTTCTTATCTCATGTTCAAAGAAGTCTCATGTTTTTCTCTTGGGGACTGCACATTGTGTATGATCTAGTTGACTTCTGGCTTTATATAAAAGTATTCAGAAGGAGTCAGCTAAATGACTTTCTAATAATAAAAATAAAATAAAGAAGGGCCAAAGAAACTACTTCCACCATCCCCAGATGCTGGGACCCCTGGCCTTCATGGGGGTCATCTTTTTGAGCCACAACTGTAAGTAGGGAGTGCTTGCCTCAGTGACTTCTCAGACAGAGAATGCAGAGAAAGAACGATTCAAGTAGTTCAACTCAAGTAAAATTCCTCTCAAGAGAACAAACTAGAGAAACAAGCAGAACTGAGAGTATTTCATTTGGGCACAAGGGGGTAAATTTGAGAAAGGAACAAGATGAGAATAGAGACTGGAGAAGGACAAACATCCTCTGGAAGGAAATATTTCTTCTTCTTGCCCTCCATGGCAGACCTGACTGATGGCTTGTTCAGCCTCCTCTTTTGATCGCTCGGTTTCTTGCTGCTGTTCAGTGGTCTGAGCTAGGGATTCTCGTAATTTTACCACTTCTGATAAGAGCTGGTCTCTCTCTTTTGTCACTTCTTCTTTGAACTTCAGTAAATCTCGAATGCTAAAAAGGAAGAACACAGGAGTCAAACCAAATGGCCATCTCTTCAGGGGTCCTTCATATCATTCTCTGAACTCCTTTCATGGAAAAGATGTCAGGTCAATGATTAACACTATTCAGGCATTAAAGAGAAAGATCTTTATGTCCTGAGATGGGATCAGATTGTGAGATGTTAACTGGAAAGAAATACTAATGATAACATGCATAGTTTAATCTATTTTTTTATTTTTAAGAAAATACAATGTATATTCATGCGAGAGAGATACAGAAAGAGAGGGAGAGAGAGAGAGAGAGTGTGTGCATGTGTGTGTGTTTTGGAGGCATTTTTATAGAAGCCACAAAAACATATCACTGACTATCTCTGAGAAATTTAGGGTGGAAAGTTGTGGGGTTTGATACTTCCCACACCTCTGTATTACTTGAATTTGTTACAATAAGACTATATTGCTATTGTCAACTCTGGTAATTAATCCTAAACAGATGTCAATTTAGGAAATTATTTGTTTAATATATCCACTGGAGGGCTATGATCACAGCCATAAACTCTAGAATGAAGCATAAACAGAAGCAAATAATATGCATTGCTAGTTTTCTATCCATTTACCCAAAGAGATTAGTTTCTCCCAAATGGATGCTGCTCAGATAAAATGTTACGAAGAACAAAATTGGGAAAATCATTCCTGATGCCCATTTTTAGAGGTTATATGATAATATTCATTGATTTGAATTGTAAACCAGTTACCTCCAAATTTCAAAAGCCATTCCATATGATTTGGCATGACTTCTTGCAGAATTAGCACTCTGCAAGTGGAAGCTCGGTGTCTGATACGACCTCTGCAGCAGAATGAATCTAGAGCAAGGCAGCTCTTAGAGCTGAGAAGGCAGAGGAGAACTTGCACTGCAGACTCTTGTAGCTGACAGTCATCAAACAACTGCTCAAAACACAGTAACTTGACAAAGTATATTTACCAACACCTTTGATGTAACAAATGTTTAATAAGGAACCTTCAAACCTGCACTCAAATTCTTCTGCAGAAATAAAACCTCAAATTCTAAGGTTACTGTGAAGACAGATAGTTACACCTGGGCACACTGTTAAAGATGAAATTATGAGCTGGATTAGTTCTTCAGTTCTCCTCCTCACCCTCTTCCAATGCTTGTTGAAAACTACTTGTGGAGGACGATCCAAGATGGCCGTTTAGGAACAGCTCAGGATTGCAGCTCCCAGTGAAAGCACAGAGGGTGAGTGGACGCCGCGTTTTTATTGCCCACAGACTAGGAAATTCCCGGGCAGAGGTGCTCCACGGTCGCCAGCGCGGCTGTTTCGGCCAGCGCGGCTGTGCCGGCCGGGGCCGCTGCTTTGCCCCGCGCGGCTGCTTTGTCGGCGCCCCGGAGCCGCGGTTCTCCGTACAAAATACACCGGTCCGGGGGCCCTTTAGGCTGGTGATTGGAGCCACGGGAAGTCGCCCATACGCTGGTTCAAAAAGGGGACTGAGCAGAGAACCAGGACAGTAGATTCCAGGGCAAAAAAAAAGAAAAAAAAGCGCCACAAACCTCAGTGCCGCTGTTTAAGCCAGCGCAGTGAGTGGCCGCAGGGGAAAACAAACAGACCCCGGCACCTCTTCAACAGGCGACTGGAACACCAACTTAAAAAAGGCTCTGAGGCAGGGAGCCAGGCGATCAGGCTCGGCTGGTCCCACCCCCGCAAAAGAACAGCAACCAGAAACTCTGGATTGAGAGTTTCACAGCAAGCGCAGCTGAACCCGGGACGGTCCAGCTCTGTGGGGGAGGGGCGTCCGCCATTACCAAGGCAGCCCGCCGTTGCCAAGGCAACCCGCCATTGCTGAGGCAGCCCGCCATTGCCAGGGCAACCCGCAACAGCAGAGACTCCGCCCCAACAGAGGCGGGCCACCATCGCCAAAGCAGTTCTAACTACACCCATATAAACAGGACTGCAGGGAAGTTCACTCGGCAGCAGGGCAGAGCCCACAGCAGCTCAGCAAAGCTGCTATAGGCCGACAGTGACTAGGCTGCCTCCTTGCTGGGCTGGGCAGGTCTGAAGGAGAAAAAAAAAAAAAAAAAAAAGAAGGCGGCAGCATAACGGAAACTCATAAATAAAGCCCTAAATCCCTGGGACAGAGCACCTGGGAACAAAAATCAGTTTATGAGTTCTGCCGCAGCAGACCTAAAAGTACCTGCCCAGCAGCTCTGAATGAACAACAACAGAGCTCGCAGCTCACCATTTGAGCTCCTACAAAGAAGAGACTGTCTCCTCAAGCAGCTCCCTGACCCCTATATATCCAAAAAGACACCTCATAAAAGAGAGATCAGATTGTCACTAGGCGGGTATCCTTCTGGGACAAAGATAGCAGAAGAAGAAAACTGGTAACAACCCTTGCTGTTCAGCAGCTGCTGCAGGTGAACCCCAGGCAAGCAGGGCCTGGAGTGAACCTCAGCAGACCTACAGCAGGGGGGCCAGACTGTCAGAAGGAAAACCAAGAAACAGAAATAACCTCATCATCAACAAACAGAACGTCAATCTGAAAGATTTGAGACCCAATCTGAAAGCCAGCAACTATAAAGTAGACAGGTGGATAAATCCTTAAAGATGGGAAGAAACCAGCGCAAAAAGGATGAAAACACCCGAAACCAGAACACCTCTCCTCCTAAAAGGGATCACAACTCCTCACCAGCAAGGGAACAAGGTTGGATGGAGAACGAGTGTGATGAAATGACAGAATCAGACTTCAGAAGGTGGGTAGTAAGAAACTTCTGTGAACTTAAAGAACATCTTCTAACCAAATGCAAAGAAACTAAGAACCTTGAAAAAAGATTTGACGAAATGCTAACAAGAATGGACAAAATAGAAAGGAATATAAGTGAATTGATGGAGCTGAAAAACGCAACACGAGAACTTCGTGAAGCATGCACAAGTATCAACAGCCGAATGGACCAAGCAGAAGAAAGGATATCAGAGGTCAAAGATAAACTCAATGAAATAAAACGGGAAGGCAAGAATAGAGAAAAAAGGGTAAAAAGGAATGAACAAAGTCTCCAAGAAATGTGGGACTATGTGAAAAGACCTAATCTACGTTTGATAGGTGTACCCGAATGCAACGAAGAGAATGAATCCAAGCTGGAAAATACCCTTCAGGATATTATCCAGGAAAACTTCCCCAACCTAGCAAGGCAGGCAAACATTCAAGTCCAGGAAATACAGAGAACACCACAAAGATATTCGTCAAGAAGAGCAACCCCAAGGCACATAATCGTCCGATTCACCAGGGTCGAAATGAAGGAGAAAATACTGAGGGTAGCCAGAGAGAAAGGTTGGGTTACCCATAAAGGGAAGCCCATCAGACTCACAGCAGATCTCTCAGCAGAAACCCTACAAGCCAGAAGAGAGTGGGGGCCAATATTCAACATCCTTAAAGAAAAGAACTTTCAACCCAGAATCTCCTATCCAGCCAAACTAAGCTTCATAAGTGAAGGAAAAATAAAATCCTTTGGGAACATGCAAGTACTCAGAGATTTCGTCACCACCAGGCCAGCTCTACAAGAGCTCCTGAAAGAGGCTCTACACATATAAAGGAACAACAAGTACCAGCTCAACTAAAGGGCAAAACAGCCAGCTAGCACCAAAATGGCAGTATCAAATTCACACATAACAATATTAACCCTAAATGTAAATGGACTAAATGCCCCAATCAAAAGACACAGACAGGCAAATTGGATAAAAAGACAAAACCCATTGGTGTGCTGTATCCAGGAAACCCATCTCACATGCAAGGATACACAAAGGCTCAAAATAAAGGGATGGAGGAAGATTTACCAAGCAAATGGAGAGCAAAAAAAAGCAGGAGTTGCAATTATCATCTCTGATAAATTAGACTTTAAAGCAACAAAGATCATAAAAGACAAAGAGGGACATTACATAATTGTAAAAGGATCAATGCAACAAGAAGAGCTAACGATCCTAAATATATATGCACCCAATACAGGAGCACCCAGATACATAAGGCAAGTTCTTAATGACTTACAAAGAGACATAGACTCCCACACAATAATAGCGGGAGACTTTAACACCCCATTGTCAACATTAGACAGATCAACCAGACAGAAAATTAACAAGGATATCCAGGACTTGAACTCAGACCTGGACCAAGCAAACCTAATAGACATTTACAGAATTCTCCAACCCAAAGCCACAGAATATACATTCTTCTCAGCACCACATCACACCTACTCTAAAATTGACCACATAATTGGGAGTAAATCACTCCTCAGCAAATGCAAAAGAATGGAAATCGTAACAAACAGTCTCTCAGACCACAGTGCAATCAAGTTAGAACTCAGGATTCAAAAACTAACTCAGAACTGCACAGCTTCATGGAAACTGAACAACTTGCTCTTGAATGTTGACTGGATAAACAATGAAATGAAGGCAGAAATAAAGATGTTCTTCAAAACCAACGAGAATGAAGACACAACATACCAGAATCTCTGGGACACATTTAAAGCAGTCTCTAGAGGAAAATATATAGCAATAAGTGCCCACATGAGAAGTAAGGAGAGATCAAAAATTGACACCCTATCGTCAAAACTGAAAGAGTTAGAGGAGCAAGATCAAAAAAACTCAAAGTCTAGCAGAAGACAAGAAATGGCTAAGATCAGAGCAGAACTGAAGGAGATAGAGACACAAAAAACCCTTCAAAAAATCAATAAATCCAGGAGCTGGTTTTTTGAAAAGATCAACAAAATAGACAGACCACTAGCCAGATTAATAAAAAAGAAAAGAGAGAATAACCAAATTGATGCAATAAAAAACGATAAAGGGGATATCACCACAGATTCCACAGAAATTCAAACCATCATCAGAGATTATTACAAACAACTCTATGCACACAAACTAATAAACCTGGAAGAAATGGATAAATTCCTGGACACTTGCCTCCTGCCAAGCCTAAACCAGGAAGAAGCCGAAACCCTGAACAGACCCATAACGAGGTCTGAAGTTGAGGCAGCAATTAAGAGCTTACCACCCAAAAAAAGCCCAGGTCCAGATGAGTTCACAGCTGAATTCTACCAGACATACAAAGAGGAGCTGGTACCATTTCTTCTGAAACTATTCCAAACAATACAAAAAGAGGGAATTCTTCCCAAATCATTTTATGACACCAACATCATCCTGATTCCAAAACCCGGCAGAGACTCAACAAGAAAAGAAAACTACAGGCCAATATCCATGATGAACATAGATGCAAAAATCTTCAATAAAATACTGACAAGCCGATTGCAACAGCACATCAAAAAGCTTATCCACCATGATCAAGTAGGCTTCATCCTGGGGATGCAAGGCTGGTTCAACATACGCAAGTCTATAAACGTAATTCACCACGTAAACAGAACCAAAGACAAAAACCACATGATTATCTCAATTGATGCAGAGAAGGCCTTTGACAAAATTCAACAGCCCTTTATGCTAAAAACACTCAATAAGCTAGGTATCAATGGAACGTATCTCAAAATAATAAAAGCTATTTATGACAAACCAACAGCCAATATCATAGTGAATGGGCAAAAACTGGAAGCATTCCCCTTGAAATGTGGCACCAGACAAGGATGCCAGCTCTCACCACTGCTATTCAATATAGTATTAGAAGTTCTAGCCAGAGCAATCAGGCAAGAAAAAGAAATAAAGGGCATTCAAATAGGAAAGGAGGAAGTCAAATTGTCTCTATTTGCAGACGACATGATTGTATATCTAGAAGACCCCATCGTCTCAGCCCCAAACCTCCTGAAACTGATAAGCAAGTTCAGCAAAGTCTCAGGATACAAAATCAATGTGCAAAAATCACATGCATTCCTATACACCAATAACAGACTTAAAGAGAGCCAAATCAAGAACAAACTTGCATTCACAATTGCCACAAAGAGAATAAAATACCTAGGAATACAACTAACAAGGAATGTAAAGGACCTCTTCAAGGAGAACTACAAGCCACTGCTCAACGAAATAAGAGAGGACACAAACAGATGGAGAAACATTCCATGTTCATGGTTAGGAAGAATCAATATCGTGAAAACGGCCATACTGCCCAAAGTAATTTACAGATTCAATGCTATCCCCATCAAGCTACCAATGACCTTCTTCGCAGAACTGGAAAAAACCACCTTAAACTTCATATGGAACCAAAAGAGAGCCCGCATAGCCAAGTCAGTTCTAAGCAAAAAGAACAAAGCGGGGGGCATCACACTACCAGATTTCAAACTATACTACAGGGCTACAGTAATCAAAACAGCATGGTACTGGTACCAAAACAGAGATATAGACCAATGGAACAGAACAGAGGTCTCGGAGGCAACACAACATATCTACAACCATCTGATCTTTGACAAACCAGACAAAAACAAGCAATGGGGAAAGGATTCCCTGTTTAATAAATGGTGTTGGGAAAACTGGCTAGCAATGTGCAGAAAGCAGAAACTGGACCCCTTCTTGACACCTTACACTAAAATTAACTCCAGATGGATTAAAGGCTTAAACATAAGACCTAACACCATAAAAACCCTAGAAGAAAATCTAGGCAAAACCATTCAGGACATAGGTGTAGGCAAGGACTTCCTGACCAAAACACCAAAAGCATTGACAACAAAAGCCAAAATAGACAAATGGGACCTAATCAAACTCCACAGCTTCTGCACAGCAAAAGAAACAATCATTAGAGTGAATCGGCAACCAACAGATTGGGAAAAAATTTTTGCAGTTTACCCATCTGACAAAGGGCTGATATCCAAAATTTACAAAGAACTAAAGCAGATCTACAAGAAAAAAACTAACAAGCCCATTCAAAATTGGGCAAAGGATATGAACAGACACTTTACAAAAGAAGACATACGTGAGGCCAACAAACATATGAAAAAATGCTCATCATCACTGGTCATCAGAGAAATGCAAATCAAAACTACATTGAGATACCATCTCACGCCGGTTAGAATGGCAATCATTAAAAAATCTGGAGACAACAGATGCTGGAGAGGATGTGGAGAAATAGGAACACTTTTGCACTGTTGGTGGGAGTGTAAATTAGTTCAACCATTGTGGAAGACAGTGTGGCGATTCCTCAAGGACATAGAAATAGAAATTCCATTTGACCCAGCAATCCCATTACTGGGTATATATCCAAAGGATTACAAATTGTTCTACTATAAGGACACGTGTACACGAATGTTCATTGCAGCACTGTTTACAATAGCAAAGACCTGGAACCAACCCAAATGCCCATCGACAATAGACTGGATAGGGAAAATGTGGCACATATACACCATGGAATATTATGCAGCCATCAAAAACGATGAGTTTGGGTCCTTTGTAGGGACATGGATGAACCTGGAAACCATCATTCTCAGCAAACTGACAGAAGAGCAGAAGATCAAACACCGCATGTTCTCACTCATAGGCGGGTGTTGAACAATGAGAACACATGGACACAGGGAGGGGAGCACTACACACTGGGGTCAGTTGGGGGGAAATAGGGGAGGGACGGTGGGGGGTGGGAAGCTGGGGAGAGATAGCAAGGGGAGAAATGCCAGATGTAGGTGATGGGGAGGAAGGCAGCAAATCACACTACCACGTGTGTTCCTATGCAACAATTTTGCATGTTCTTCACATGTACCCCAAAACCTAAAATGCAATAAAATAAATAAATGGGGAAAAAAAAAAAAAGAAAAGAAAACTACTTGTATCTGAATCAGTTCCCTCACATTCCTTTTCAGTAGTTGCTTTGAATATGCTTGACTTCCTTAACAGTAAGATAAAGCCCACACTACAGGCATCACATTTTCTGTTTGTATTTCTTATTCCTTCTCCCAATACCTGTACTTAGAACTATGTGTCAATGTAGGATCAACACATCAAAAAAGCATAAGAAACCAAAACAGCAACATTAGATTTGGTTAGTTTCCTTGGCTGCTCAAGGAAGTGTATGTTTATTCCTAATTCATTCATCAATGGCATGTTTTGCACGCCCCACAGAGTGCTGGGCTCCTGGAGGGGATACAAAGATGTCTTCCTTCACTGAGTTCACAGCCTAATGGGTAGAGAAGCACGTCAAGAAATAATTTCAATACAATCTGATCAGTACCATACTGGAGGTAAATGTTGGGTCCTGTGGAAACAGAGAACATAGCGACTTTCTTGTGGTCATTGGAGTCTGGATGTGGAAAGGATGTTGGAACAGTGATACTGGTGGTGATGAAGTTAAAACAGTGTTTGAGGTGTGTCTTAAAGGTGGCATAAAAGTTGAACAGGGGGAGAATGGAAGCAAAGGCATTCTGAGCATGGAAAGCAGCATGAAGAAAGGCATGGAGGTGTGAGCAACCTGGTAGGCTGGCCCAAGGCTAGAGAGGCTGACTGGGGCAGCTTTTCAAAGGGCTCTGGATGACACAGTCAAGAGCCTGGGCTTTATCCTTCTGGTACGGGTAGCTATTGAAAGTGTTTATGCTGAAGATAGGTACACATGTGTTTCAGGAGCCTAAATTTGGTAGCAATGATGGAATAAAGAAGGACATGTCTTCTACAGGAAGGGAGATCAGTTAGGAGGCTACTGCCAAATCTGGCAAAGAATAGGAGGTCTGAACCAAGACAGTAGCACTGGTGACCAGGAGGAGGAAAAGGCCATGCTTAGAAGACCAAGTCAACAAGACAGAGACTTTAAGAGATGGGGGGCAGCAGAGGTGAAAAGAAGCTCTGTTTTCTGACCTAGAATCTGAAGAGTGGAACAGATGATGATGAGACTGATCATAGGGAGTAGGTAGAAGAAGCTGGGACTCTGGGCAGAAAGGCAGACAGTTATATTCTACACAAGTTGGAGAGAAATAAATATAAAATCTTACTCATTTTGAAACTATACTACTGATTCCCATGGAGGCAGAAGTTTAAGATAACCACAAATTTTCTTAGGTGTGGAGAAAAGAACGTTACTTAAAATGCAATAGACAGAAAATAATCCCTGAGAACCCAATAAAGAAGAGTCCTGTATCACAAATGTTCAAGAAGACACTGGCAAGCCCCAGGCTGCCTATTGAAGGAGGAGGCCTCTGCAAAAGTGAGTTCAACGTACATCAACAAGGCTATAACCTACTTGCTATCCTGGTCCATTGATAGTCCAGACCCTTGCTCCACTAGTTTGGTCAGGTTCACTATTTCCTCTTTCAGAGCAAGAATCGTCTCCTTGGCCTTCTGCTCCTTGTCATAGGCTGAGTCCACCATCTTCCAGGCTTTTTCAATTTCCTAGATGGGCCATAGGATATCAGTGAGAAAGACCAAACTGGATTCTAGATGCAACGTAAACTAGCAAACAGGATAACGCCATGACCACAGTGCAGTTGTGTAAATGTGCATGGACTGAATTGTTTAACATGAGCTAGTCAATAGTGAATAGCACATTGAAAGGGGAGGACTGGACTGGACATGGTGTTATAGGCCTATAGTCCCAGCCACTCAGGAGGCCAAGGCAAGAAGACCTCATGAGCCCAGGAGTTTGAGGCTGCAGTGAGCTGCAATTGTGCCACTACATACCAGCCTGGATGACAGGGCAAGACCCTGTCTCAAAAAAAATAAAATAAAATAAAGTAGGGGACTGGCAGAGGGTATCTTTTCTTGTGTAGGTGAGTGTGGCTACAAGGCTCACTTACTGCAAGGTTGGCAAAATTAGATATGAAAGTTCATGTGCTTTCCAAGTCCAGATATTAAAAGGGAAAAAAATAAGTTTTATCACATGAGGAATGATCATAGATCCAAGCCCTAAATTGACAGACTGAATTAAACCTCTTGATAGATTTGTAAATAAAAAATATGTTTCATCATCTGGTCCCAAGTGACCTCCTAGTGGCAATGTGAGCTTTAGAACAACCCACAGCAATGCTGTTCTTTACTGTTACCTAATTGTACCCAACAACCTTGGTAATTCCCATTTTTCATAAACTCAAGCTCAAGCCTTCTTATCAAATGTTTTCATATGGGAAAAAAAAAAACCCTTAACAGGGAATGGAAGCAATGACACATGCAGCTTTGGCTTCCTTAGTGTTATAAAATGCAATGTATAATATTGACATAAATACTTAAAAGTGAATTACAGCAGTTACAGTAAAAAAGCAAAGCACAGTAAGTTTTGCAACATGACATAGTTTGGATACGTATCCCTGCCCAACTCTCATATTGAAATGTAAACCCCAGAGTTGGAGGTGGGGCCTGGTGGGAGGTGACTGAATCATGGGGGTGGATTTCTCATGAATGGTTTAGCACCATCTTCTTGGTACTGTCCTTGTGCTAGTAAGTGAGTGAGTTCTCACGAAAGCTGGTCATTTAAAAGTGTGTGATGCAAGCATATGTTCATCACAGTGCTATTCACAATAGCAAAGACATGGAATCAACTCAAATGCTCATCAGCGATAGACTGGATAAAGAAAATGTGGTACATACACACCATGAAATACTATGCATTGATAAAAATGTATAAGATCATGTCCTTTGGTTGGAGGACATGGATGGAGCTGGAGGCCATTATCCTTAGCAAACTAACACAGGAACAGACAACCGAATACTACTTGTTCTCACTTACAAGGGGGAGCTACAAGTGAGAACACATGGACACATAGAGGGAAATAAAACATACTGGGGTCTTTTAGAGGGTGAAAGGTAGGAGGAGGGAGAAGATAAGGAAACAATAACTAATGGATACTTAACTTAATAACTGGTGATTAAATAACCTGCACAACAAACCCCCATGACATACGTTTACCTATGTAACAAACCTGCACATGTACCCCTGCACTCAAAAGTTAAAAAAAAAAATTGTATGGCACCTCCCTGTTCCCTCTCTTGCTCCTGCTCTGGCCATGTGAAGTGTCTGCTCCACTTTGCCTTCTGCCATGACTGTAAGTTTCCTCAGGCCTCCCAAGAAGCTGAGCAGATGTTAGTGTTATACTTTCTGGACAGCCTGCAGAACCATGAGCCAATTAAATCTCTTTTCTTTATAAATTACCCAGTCTCAAGTATTTCTTTATAGCAATGTGATGACCAACTAATACACAACAGCTTTGAGTTTTAGGCCACCACTTAACTTTCTTGCAAAATTCTGTCAAGTAGAATGTGGGTCCTTTATACAGATAAGAACCTATATGCTTTTGGTGAAAATATTCTACTTGTATATTGACAAGGAATAAAATGGGTGTAAGAGAGTATTTAATGTAACAATTCATGGTCACTACTACATTAGAAAGATTGCTCTTAGGTAACTATAGCACATAATTCGGTGATTCAAAGCAAAATGTCAGTTTGTGGATTATTTCTTATGTAGCAACCATACATGCTATTTTTAACAAAACAAATGAAAGATATTTACATTAAAAAATGAATACAAAAGTTTTATCTGAATCAACTTTACCAATCAGATTTTAATCCATTCATGACCTCCATTTTCTCCATTTTGTTTTTTTGTTTGTTTGTTTTTCTGAGATGAAGTCTCACTCTGTTGTCTAGGCAGGAGTGCAGTGGCACAAGCTCCACTTACTGCAACCTCCACCTCCTGATTCAAGTGATTCTCCTGCCTCAGCCTCCCAGGTACCTGGGACTACAGGCACATGCCACCACACCTAGCTAATTTTTGTATTTTTGGTAGAGATGGGTTTTCACCATGTTGGCCAGGCTGGTCTCAAACTCCTGAACTCAGGTGATCCACCCACCTCGGCCTCCCAAAGTGCTGGGGATTACAGGCATGACCCACAACACCCAGCCCATTTTCAGTTTTTAAATTTACAATGAAAAATGTTTTTTTCCATTATAAAATGACTTAAACTCTTCTTATATTGGTTTTTCAGCAAGAAGAAGAAGAAAATGACAATAAATTTTTAAATGGCACTTAAAAATGAGCAGTTTCTAACGGAATTGATAATCCATATTTTGTACTGGTCTTGGAAATTAATTTGAACTGGGTGGCATCTAATTGCATGATATCAAGGCAATTGTCTAAAAATTGTATAAATTATTTCTCATAATTAGGGTTTTAATTCTGTTTCAACCTCTTATCACCATAAGTCAACAAGGAACATTTATATTTTACCTTCAAAATAATGCAACACACTTAAAGATGAAAAATATCTAGTGTAAAACAAAGGAATACATCCTCAGTATTCCCACACTGAATCTCTGTTCTCCTATTATGAGGAACTGGAAGGATTGAGAGGAAAGAAAAGGGGTGCTAGAAAGAAAGGTCATGAAAATTACTGTCTAGGAATTCTCAAGGCAATCTTTACTAAAACAGGAGAAAAAGTAGAAATACAAAAGTATCTTTAACAAGCTATTATCATGAGGTATTAAATTACTCATCATGCATCAAATAAGACATATTGAGATTCCAAATATTGCATTTACTTATCTCTAAATCCTTTTTCTAACCCATTATTTCCCAGAAACCAAGCCAGTAAGATTCTCCATTATTTTCTGCATGATGCAATTCACCCAGGCTAAAAAATCATTTTCTTTGAAAATGAACATTATTCCTTAGGCTTTATGAATATAAAATCATGTAAATTTTTACCTAATAACTCATTTACTACCAGCCTAGAGGTGTCAATATAATGAGAGAATGATGTTTTAAGTTCAGGTTCATTCTATTTCTAGAAGATCACTGACCTTCTTTAGGGATGCAATGGTGGTCTGATCGTCCTGAGAGAGCTTAAGGGCAGTGGCGACCTTTGCGGAATTCACTACGATCTCTGCATTTAGTTCTCTGCATTTGGCCATCAGACGCTTTTCATTGTCATAAGACTTTTTCATGATAGCATGAAGCTTCTCATATTCAATCCTAAATTTTTCCAGACTTTTGTCTCCTGAAAGTTCACACAGAACCTCCTGAAAATCTCTTTCGATTTCTTCAAATGCAGATTCTTCCAGGACTTGCTTTTCACCCTTTTCCTATATAAAAAAGCAGGGATGGGAAAGGGCATTGCAACATTTACATCATCACTATCAAGGAATTACTGCTATTATCCCTGAATGAAACACCTTCATACAAGCAAAATTAAAGCCACTGATAAACAGAAAAATTAAGATTATATGATGGAAAAGGTCCTTGTACAGTCCCTGATGCCTATGTACATATACGTGTGTGTGTATACATATATATATACACACACATATACATTATATATTTATACATATTACATCTATATGCATTGGGATATATATGCAGAATATATATGCATTAAGATAACAGTAGTTCCCACCACATGATGTTGCTAAGGATTAGATTAAATGAGATCATTGATGTTAAACACTTAGCCAAGTGCCTGGCATATAGTAGGGATTCAATGAATTTTCATAGTTGTTATGATTATTCCAAACCCTGGTCTCTTTTCATGCGATCCTGCTTCTTATTGCCCCTAAGACTGTAAAGTTGGGGGCCATGGTGTGTTGAGGCCAGACATAGGAATATCTTGGCATAGATATCATGATATCATGAAATTACATGTACAGTGAAACTCACCTGAAATATGCATGGAATTGTCTCCCAAAAGAGATTCCCTTTTTTTTTTTTTTTTTGAGATGGAGTCTTGCTCTGTTGCTCTGTCACCATGTTAAAGTGTAGTGGCATGATCTCAGCTCACTGAAACCTCTGTCTCCTGGATTCAAATGATTCTCCTGCCTCAGGCTCCTGAGTAGCTGGCACTACAGGAAAGTGCCACCACACCCAGCTAATTTTTTTGTATTTTTAGTAGAGACAAGGTTTCACCATGTTGGCCAGGATGGTCTCCATCTCTTGACCTCGTGATCCACCCACCTCAGCGTCCCAAAGTGCTGGGATTACAGGCGTGAGCCACCACGCCGGCCCCATCATTTTTATCCCTTAAGAAATTTAGGCTAGGTCGAGATCCAAGATGGCTGAATAAGAACAGCTCTAGAGGGCAACTCCTGGTGAGAACACAGAGGGTGAGTGATCACGACATCTCCAAACAAGTTTTTACTGCCCACAGACCAGGAGATTCCCAGGCATAAAAGCGCCAAGAGTTTGTAGCATGGCGCAGTGGGTCTCCACAGAAAAACTCACACAAATCTGGGCGGCCGTTTCAACTGGCGCCTGGAACACCTGAGAGACAGAGTCATCCATTCAACTGAAGAAAAGGGGGCTGAAACAAAGAGTAAGGTGATCTGGCTTGGAGGGTCCCACCCCCACAAAGACCAGCAATCTGAAACGCTCTGGACTGAGAGTTTCACAGCAAGCACAGCTGGTCCTGGGACAGTCCAGTTCTGTGGGGAAAGGGTGTCCACCATTACCAAGGCAGTCCACCACTACCAAGGCAGTCTGCCATTACTGAGGCAGACCACCATTACCGAGGCAGTTCTAACTATACCTCTATAAACAAAACTTCAAGGGATTTCACACAGCAGCTGGGCAGAGCCCACAGCAGCTCAGCAATGTCTCTGCTGGCAGACTGTGACTAGGCTACCTTCTCGCTGGGTAGGGCAGCTCTGAAAAAAGGCAGCAGCAAATCAGGAACTTATAAATAAAGCCCCACCTTCCCAGGACAGAGCACCTGGGAAAAAAAGGCATTTATGAGTTCCACTGCAGCAGACTTAAATGTATCTGCCAGCAGCTCTGAATGGAACAACGGAGCTCACAGCTCAGCACTTGAGCTCCTATAAGGGACAGACTGTCTCCTCAAGCAGCTCCCCTACCCCTGTATATCCAAAGAGACACCTCATAAAGGAACGCTCAGGCTGACAACTGGCAGGTATCCTTCTGGGATGAAGATAACAGAAGAAGAAACTGGCAGCAACCCTTACTGTTCTGCAGCCACCACAGGTGATCCCCAGGCAAGCAGGGTCTGTAGTGGACCTCCAGCAGTCTTACAGCAGAGGGGACTGACTGTTAGAAGGAAAACTGAAAAAACAGAAAGAAATAAATCTATCATCAACAAAAAGGACTTCCACTCAGACCCCATCCGAAAGTCACCAACTACAAAGACCACAGGTAGATAAATCCAGAAAGATGGGAAGAAACTAGTGCAAAAAGGATGAGAACAGCAAAAACCAGAACTCATCTCCTCCTCCATGGGATCACAACTCCTCACCAGCAAGGGAACAAAGCTGGATGGAGAATGAGTCTGATGAATTGACAGAAACAGGCTTCAGAAAGTGATAAACTTCTCTGAGCTAAAGGAACATATTCTAACCAATGCAAAGAAACTAAGAACCTTGAAAAAAGGTTTGACGAAATGCTAACAAGAATAAACAGCTTTGAGAAGAATATAAGTGACTTGATGGAGCTGAAAAACACAACATGAGAACTTCACGAAGCATACACAAGTTTCAATAGCCAAATCAACCAAGCAGAAGAAAGGATATCAGAGATTGAAGATCAACTCAATGAAATAAAACAAGAAGGCAAGATTAGAGAAAAATGAGTGAAAAGAAATGAACAAAGCCTCCAAGAAATAGGGGTTATGTGAAAAGACCTAATATATGTTTGATAGGTGTACCTGAATGTGACAGAATGAATCCAAGCTGGAAAACATTCTTCAGGATATCATCCAGGAGAACTTCCCCAACCTAGCAAGGCAGGCAAATATTCAAGTCCAGGAAATACAGAGAACACCACAAAGATATTCCTCAAGAAGAGCAAACCCAAGGCACATAATCGTCAGATTCATCAGGGTTAAAATGAAGGAAAAAATGCTAAGGGCAGCCAGAGAGAAAGTTCGGGATACTCACAAAGGGAAGCCCATCAGACTCACAGTGGATCTCTCAACAGAAACCCTACAAGCCAGAAGAGAGTGGGGGCCAATATTCAACATCCTTAAAGAAAAGAACTTTCAACCTAGAATTTCATATCCAGCCAAACTAAGCTTCATAAGTGAAGGAGAAATAAAATCCTTAATGAACAAACAATTGCTCAGAGATTTTATCATCACCAGGCCTGCCTTATAAGAACTCCTGAAAGAAGCACTAAACATAGAAAGGAACAATCAGTTACCAGCCCCTCCAAAAATGTACCAAATGGTAAAGACCACTGACAAAATGAAGAAACTGCATCAACTAATGGTCAAAACAACCAGCTAGCATCAAAATGGCAGGATCAAATTCACACATATAACAATATTAACCTTAAATGCAAATGGGCTAACTGCCACAATCAAAAGACACAGACTGGTAAATTGGATAAAAAGTCAAAACCTATGGGTGTGCTGTATTCAGGAAACCCATCTCATGTGGAAGGACACACATAGGCTCAAAATAAAGGGATGGAGGAGATTCATCAAGCAAATGGAGAGCAAAAAAAGAGCAGGAGTTGCAATCCTAGTCTCTGATAAAATACAGAGATCTTTAAAGCAACAAAGATCAAAAGAGACAAAGAAGGGCCTTACATAACGGTAAAAGGATCAATGCAACAACAAGAGCTAACTATGCTAAATATATATGCACCCAATACAGGAGCACCCACATACATAAAGCAAGTTCTTAATGACCTACAAAGAGACTTAGACTCCCACACAATAATAGTGGGACACTTTAACATGCCACTATCTTTAGACAGATCAACGAGACAGAAAATTAACAAGCCTATCCAGGACTTGAACTCAAATCTGGACCAAGCAAACCTAATAGACATTTACAGAACTCTCTACCCCAAATCCACAGAACATACATTCTTCTCAGCATCACATCACACCTACTCTAAAACTAACCACATAATTAGAAGTAAATCACTCCTCAGCAAATGCAAAAGAATGGAAATCATAACAATCTCTCAGACCATAGTGCAATCAAATTAGAACTCAGGATTAAGAAACTAACTCAGGACCGCACAACTTCATGGAAACTGAACAACTGGCTTTTGAATGTTGACTGGACAAACAATGAAATGAAGGCAGAAATAAAGATGTTCTTCAAAACTGACAAGTACGAAAACACAATGTACCAGAATCTCTGGGACACATTTAAAGCAGCATTTAGAGGAAAATTCACAGCAATAAATGCCCACATGAGAAGCAAGGAAAGATCTAAAATCGACACCCTATCATCAAAATTGAAAGAGTTAGAGGAGCAAGATCAAAAAAACTCAAAAACTAGCAGAAGACAAGAAATAACTAAGATGAGAGCAGAACTGAAGGAGATAGAGACACAAAAAACCCTTCAAAAAAGTCAATAAATCCAGGAGCTAGTTTTTTGAAAAGATCAACAAAATAGGCAGACTGCTAGCCAGATTGATAAAAAAGAAAAGAGAGAAGAATCAAAGAGATGCAATAAAAAACGATAATGGGGATAACACCACCGATTCCACAGAAATAAAACTACCATCAGAGATTATTACAAACAACTCTATGCACATAAATCGGTAAACCTGGAAGAAATGGATAAATTCCTGGACACTTGCACCCTCCCAAGCCTAAACCAGGAAGAAGTTGAAACCCTGACTAGACTAATAACAAGGGATGAAGTTGAGGCAGCAATTAATAGCCTGCCAACCAAAAAAAAGCCCAGATCCACATGAGTTCACAGCTGAATTCTACCAGACATACAAAGAGGAGCTGGTACCACTCCTTCTGAAACAATTCCAAACAATCCAAAAAGAGGGAATCCTTCCCAAATCATTTTGAGTTCAACAGCATCCTGATACCAAAACCTGGCAAAGACTCAACAAGAAAAGAAAACTTCAGGCCAATATCCATGATGAACATAGATGCAAAAATCTTCAATAAAATACCGGCAAACTGATTGCAACAGCACATCAAAAAGCTTATCCATCACAAACAAGTAGGCTTCATTCCAGGGATGCAAGGCTGGTTCAACATACACAACTCTATAAACGTAATTCACCACCTAAACAGAACCAAAGACAAAAAACACATGATTATCTCAATAGATGCAGAGAAGGCCTTTGACAAAATTCAACAGCCTTTATGCTAAAAAAAACT